TGAATTGTCTTTCAGAAAAATGTTCAGCATTCTCTGCAAAATTTTATTTTTCCATTGAAAGTCTTTAGGGGAAAAAAATGTACTATACTCACTTATTTTTGTCAAAACCCCAGAAATTTATAGGAAGAAACTCATGATGGTAAGAAAAGTTGTGTTTTCCCTGACAACTTGTTAGAGAATATTTTGGACCAGCTTTTCTAGGAAGAGTTCTTTTGCATTGTCTATGAAATATTTTTAAATATCCACAGGCACTTTCATCTGAAACACCATAAAACTGCAAAAATAAAAGATTAATTCTGTGTTATGAGGCTTATGGTATCTGAAGATTTTCTGTTGAAAAACATTACAGTATTTTCTGTATAGTGAAAATGTAAATGACTCATTTCTTGTCAGCTTGCTCAAGTGTGACATTAACACTCAGTTCCTGGGAAGCAATATTTACTATTAAGGGAGATGGTCTTCTGTCTTGGTTAAATCTTCAAAATTTTGTTCTAAACTAGCTTAGTTAGAAAGCAAACTGGAAGTGATGGTTGGGATCATAGAGAAAACAAATCTACATGTAGCAGCTTCAACACAAGGTCCACCTGAGCCAAGGAAGTTATTGTGGCCAATGCATTCCATTGCAATCATGTTCTGGGGAAGGATGTGCAGCTAGTCAGCAGAAGTTCCCATAGCATTGGGGTGTTCATCAATACTCTGTGTGCCACCACTAGTTTTACAATAAATTAAGAACTGGTCTTCCACCGAAGGAGCTGCCTTTTGCTCCTCCTCTGATTTTAGTCGAATTACTTGCAAACGTTTCCAGTTTTTAGTTCATTGGAATATGCATGTAAGGGTGAAAGGCTGAAATGAACATCAGGAATGCATAATCTGTAGTAAAAATGAATGATTCTTTTGATTTCTAAGAAAAGGTAAAGGTAGTCATTGTCACCATGACTGGGCTGTAGTTACAGACATAAATTAAATTTAGGAACTTATTAACATGAGACTCTTACCTTAAACATTCAGGATCAGTCTGAGGTTTTTCAGTGACATAGACTTTTTCTGCTTCTAAATCTTTGGTCATTCTTTCAGCCTCCCTGATTACTTTCTCAAGGTCTAAACAAAAAAATAACAATCACCTTATAAATATATATTAATCATCCATATTCAAAGACTTGCCACATTTTCTAAATTTATCTTTTCTAATATTGCTTTGTGAAACTGTTTGTAGGGTAGAGGCATGCAAATAAAGAACATTATTTGGTATGCATAATTCAGTCTTCTACAAAATTTTGCTCCTTTTCCTAAACAATTTATGACCATGTTTATGGCTTGTCTTTCTTAGCTCTCTTACTGCAATGTTATTCACATATTTGTAAAAAAGTTACAAAACCACTTCTAGATTACATTGTTAATTCAAATTTCAATATTAGCCCTTTGACACAGAACCTTTCTTTGTTCCCTCTATCTTTTTAATTGTTTATTACAGGTTTTCCTGTGTATTCCACACAGCTTTGTGTGTAGACTTCTTGGGGGTTTTTTTGTGTGCACAGACTTGCATACGCTACCACACAAATGTCAGTAAAGAGGACTGAATTTCCAACTCAGATTTTTGGCATCAAGGCCAGATCTGTCCTTGTCAGTCCAAGCCATATTGCTTACTAAACATTTGAATATTAATGACGTTAATTATAGCTCAATAGGTTTTAAACAATATTAACGTTGATTTTAAGTTCACTTTGAAACACTAAACTCTCCATTTAAGTATATGACTTACTGGCAAAAATAAAAATTTCATTTTCATATTTATGAGTTATGATTCAGCAAATCTGCAGACCTCAGTATCACTAACATTTAAAATAAATCTTATTGAAATCCATAATATTTACTATAACCATGTTTTAAAATTATTACTTAACATAAAAACATATTAAAATCTTGTTTCTACAATTTATTTCTCTTAGAGAAAAATTACTTGATAGAAAAGATATTTCAGAAGCATTTGTCAAGCAACAAATAATTACCATTAACAAGTGATTCTCAGGCATACCTGTGAGTTCACTTTGGAGGGTAAATAAATGCTGCTTTAATTCACTCTTCTGCAACTGGAGTGCATTTAACTGAATGTTTTTATGTTCCATTGACTCCATTTCTAAGAAAAAATATATTTCATATTAAAATGCATTGCAGTTTTAGTCTTCATGTTATAATTTTAAATATTCTCAATGACTTCTACTGATCTTCAGCTAATAAAAAATAACCTTAAATATAAGAATTCAATTGGTCATTCACTGGAAATGATGTCATATAACGTGTTCATAATTACGTTTTTTAATGTTATTAAGATGTTTGACGTATTTTCTTGACTGGGCATAAAAAGAATTACAAATCTTTTCCTTTAGAATTACTTCAGCTATAAAGGAAGATGACCTATTGAGTATGTGGTGAACAAACACCTCTCAGCAGGGCTGAAAAGAATTTTAGTGTTATGGACATTTGAACCGGACTGTTGACAGCATCTGGAATGAATTACGATTGTTTCCCTCACAACTGGAGGTCCTCACATAATTTTCTTGTTACGAGTTACTTAAACTTTTCTCTTTTGTGTTTTTCAGTGTGCTCAGGACTGTAGCAGTCAGAAAGACAGACAAGTTGCACTTCAAAAGAAGATGCAATTTAAAAGGATGGAATCAAGACAGCAACTGAACCAAGAGAAGGTTAGTCACCTTTCATGTCCTACTGATCCAACCACTTGAGAGACTGACTGATCAGATCTGCCTGAATATGTAAAAATTAATCATTAAAAGTAACATTTGCCACCAAATACAGATTTCTTTCAGTTGCAGATCAGAATGAGAGCCACAGGAATTACAGAAAGAAGGTAATACAAACTCTATGGTCAAATGTCAAAACTTTACATCAGGTATTGGGAATTCATAGTGCTGGCACTTGATGAATCATAGAATCACGAGACTGGAAAAGGACTTTGAGAGGTCATCTGCTGCACTCCTCCCCCTGAAAGCAGGATCAGCTGTACCACTGTCATTTCTGGCAGATGCTTGTCTGACCTGCTCTTAAAGACCTTTGGTAATGGAGCCTCTTTATTCCTTTGGTAATGGGATCTCCTAAGGCATGATGTTTCAGTTGTTCACTATTCCTCTTAGAAAGATTTCTCAACTGCCAGACAGACTCTACCTTACCATGGTTTACACTTGTTTTTATTAAGTTCACTATAGCTAGAGAGAATAAATTAATTTCATTTTTACAGAGTCTTTTAATGATTTGAAGACTGATGTCCATCTTCCATCAGTCTTTTCTTCCATAGGTTACATAGTCCCAGTTCTTTCATTTCTTTCCTTCCCATGTTCTTCAGATCTCTGATCACTCTCACTGGTCTCATGTGGATTCTCTCCATCTGGTCCAGATTTTTCCTTAAGTGCGACATACAAAAGTAGATGCACAATACTCCAGCTAAGAGCTTAACTGCCCTAAATAGAGCAAAGGATTATTTTGCATGTCTTAGGGGTCAAAATTATGTTTATGTCTCAGTATGGTGTTGGCACTCTGATGACGCTGGCTCATTTTCAGCTAGTAATCTATGACGACTCCTATTTCCTTGCTCTTTCAGTTTAGTCTTAAGAGAAATTTCCAGATGGCAAGGGAATGGAATTAAAATATTTTACAATATTTTAGTAAAAAATGGCTTTATTTTACTAATTGTATTCATTCTCTGGTAATCCAAGATAGGATAATTTAATATAAGATTTACCGTTTTTCAACAGAGCTGCCTCATTCTCTAAATCATTTATTTCAGTCTTGGCTTTTTTTTTAATCAGAAGATCTCTATTACTTGTTAGTCCATACTCATTATTAAATTCTGTTACTTCTCTGGTAAAATTATCTTCCTCTTCAGTCATTTTTTTCTTTGCATCTGTCTGAAAAAGAAAATGGGAAAATTGAATGCTTTTTAAAATTTAGCTCTGCTGATTTAAAATACAAATACATATGCAGAGAAGACTACTCATCTTTGGTATTGCTTAATATCTACAGATCCAAGGATCCACAAGGAAGTAAGAGGAAGACAATATTCAGGTTAGCACATGAGAGAACTGAAAAGCTAGTTGCCTGTGTTTGTTGCAAGCAGCTACTTCTTAAGAAGCGGCAAAGTGTGTCTGGCATCAGATTGTATGTTACGTCAGGATTCCTAAAATGTGGTATCAGGCTCCCTGATTTTTTTCTTTCGATCCCTCTCAATATGTTTTATTGTGCATGAGGCAGTCCAATTTAAGCTGAAACTTCCCTAGTTTTCTCTTACAAAGGAAATAATACATCGGATTTGGAGTTCAGTCATTCAACAAGCAGACATTATAAGATGAAGACAAGAATGTTAAATCAGCTTCGTAGATCAACTGCAGCATAAATCACCTTAGACATTTTTTTTAAGTGAAAAGTGAGAATTTATCTACATTTACATTGGTAAGTATGCTGAGTTAAAAATAAATACATTGATTTTTCAGATTTAAAACATTCCTTCTTCCATATTTTCAAACTTTAATGATGTCTACTCTCATAGAGTAGAACAGAGCTGTCTGAATAATGTAGCTGGAAACATACAGAGATTTTAAGAAGATGGTCTTTTTGATTAAGAAGTTCAGCTTTCTGTTTTTCTAAGCTGTCTTCACGTTTCTTCAGAATTTCTAAGTAGAACTGTTTTTCGGACAAATGCTGAACCTTCCAAGAGAAAAAAGAAAAAGAAAAAAAAAAAAGGTTATGAAGTAAGATTATTGTTTTATTGTTTCATATACTTGGATATTGTACCTAAGGATCTTGGTCCAGTTCAAACACAGCTGGTATAGCTGCTGGACTAACAAAAGCATAACTGTTTTTTCTACCCCCAGTAATCCTCCAATATACAACTAAGCTTTTGAAAAGCAACCTTTCATTAAAACATATTTACTGCTGGTCCATCTATCTAAAACAATATCTTAAAGTCCGTTCAGTTTAGGAGAATTTTTTCCAGGCTAAAGCCAGGAGAAATATTGATCACACAGGTTCTTTTACACAGAATAATACAATGTCCTCCATCTAATTGTGTAAAGTTTGTCACGTACCAAATCAAGACAGTAACATCAGAGAACATTACTGTTCTGACTGGATGGCTGTACACATCATCAGCTCTGCAATGCTACTGTTGCACAGGCTCATTTTTTTTTTGAGCACAACTGCGGGAATTCTTAGCCAAGGAAGTGTAACTGAAATTAGTTCATTGCTTAAAGACAGTTTGACCGTCATTCCCCCAAGCCCCAAACATCTGTTTTGCATTTAGTTTTATTTCTACCTTTATTAATTTTAAACAGTAGTTTATCTAATAGAAGGTTATGCTGTTCGACCATTGCATTTTCAACATTTGTTGAAGAGTTCCTCTCAATTTTCCAGTGCATCCACTGGATCATCGTCTAACTTAAGATATATGGTGAGATAAAATATAACAGCAGATAAACAGGGAACAGCTAAGTGTTGAAGAGTCTTAAAGGATGAGAATCATTCATCTGATGAAGTGGAGAAAAAGAGGTCAAAAGAATGACTCAGGCTGTAATACTTGGAACAATAAATGAGGAAAGTAAAGTTAGCAGAATTGCCCACAGACAATAAAGGCACAGGGTAACTGTCAGGAAGTAAACTGAGTAGTGAGACTGATACGTGTGTGCAGAAGAAGAAAAGACCAGATAATTGTGATATTACAGAGGTTAAAGTGAAAAGATTGTAAAATGAAATAAGGTAGATTATTTTGGATAGGGTGCAGATGAAATGCATCTGATCAAAATAGGAGGATACTGGAATCAAATGTCCTAAGACAAGAATGGGAGTTGGAAAGGACCAGATTTTTTTTCCTTATCCCTGCCATATCCAACATGCTAAGTGTCCAGGAAGTGCTTGCCACATAAATATTTATTTTTTAGATTAATTCAAAGAGAGTAGGTGGCCTTATACCACTGTGTTTATATAACTGAACATAACTAGCAGCAGTGTACTTTCTCCATCTGTAAGATGCCAACTTAATCTATGCATTTACAGCAGATTTCTTTTAAGAAATCACTGAGCCATGAAAAGCAAAATGCTATAATTTGGGTTCTAATTACATGGTACCTGATTTTACAGAACGGAGAGAAAAATAACATTTCCCAGGAATCTTTGATTGACCACAGGCAGCCTCTGTGAAATAGATGTCAAAACACTTTTGAACTCACTCTCATCTGCTTGGTCAGGCATGAGGTGCTGTGCATGCATGTGCTTCTGTGTATATGCGTATAAAGAAGTACAGTTATTTGGTGCAGGACAAACTGAACAGCATTAGCTTAACAGCATTATTTAATGTTACTTGATTTACATTAACTAGTGCAGACATGTGTAAACCTAATTCCTGTGCTGAAAAATAAGTTACATTTATTTCATTAACTATATGATCTTTAAACCTAAATACAGTCTGATTAAAATGCATTTTCCCATTCTGCTTATTTTCTGTATCATTTCCTATCTATGACTGAATCAATGTCAGACTATGTAAGCAAGTAAAACACATTTTTGTGGATATCAGTGAGAATATTATTAATCCTGGTGGATAAAGCATGTAAGATTTAATTAGGGCTAGTTCATCAGCTCTTCCCATTAGTAATTTACAATAATGGTTCTACTCATGGGATTTTCTGTACTTACCACATAAACTTGATTATAAATCACAGTGCATCAATAACAAATTAGTAGTAAAAACATAAAAATTTGATGTTCATAAATAAATTTATGAGCAAGACTGTGAAGGACTTTACCTAACAACCAACACCCAGATATAGTCTGTGTTAGTTAAATGAGTTACTATTTTAAAGTGCATTCAGGCTCTGAGATTGGGGCATGCATAAATGCAAGCACATGAATAACTGCTTTCTTGATTATAGTGTCAATTTTCAAGCAGTAAATATTTGTAAATGAATTATCTTTTATTCTTTCCCCTTGCAGTAATGTTGATATTTATCATATATATTACATAGTCTTTTATAAAAGGGAGAAGAGCCTGGTTTTGAAGGACGAAAAGCTTCTGCCAAGCATTTATTTTCACAGCTAGGTGAGGTAATTCCTGAAAGGTTCTTGAAGATGTTTATTTAAGTGATAGGACACATGAGTTCTAACTTCAAAGGAGGCTCCATATGCTTTCCTGTTGTGCATACACATTCTGCCAGCAGACACAGTTAAGAGCACAGGGGATGATATTTAAATTTCATTTTCAGGCATAAGAAAATTGATTTTTAAACAATTTGTAATCACAGGTATTAATAGTGAAAATCTCCACAGAACAGGAAGCTTAATCTAAAAATATGTCTGCAGTTCAGTTAAATGGAAACCATAATAAAATCTTAAGAACATTAAATAGATTCAGAAACTCTCCTCCATCTTCAGTCTCCCTTGAAAAAACTCTTAGATCTTGGGCACCCTAACTGTGAGCCCGGGATCTTTAGTATGTGATTCAATATCCTATGAGGTAAACACAGGGAATGTTTCCACATAATTTCTGTGAAAGGCCTTTAGCTAAAGGCAGTGGGTGATGAAGGAATGGTTTCCAGGCCTCTGAAGGAAAGGGCAATAAGAAGACCCCATCTTAACACACCTTGCTCACACCTGAGCAGTTGGTCGGCCCCAGCTGTTGCCTGGTT